TGGAAACTCAAACATAGAATGTGTCTGTGCCTCATAAGAACTGATTAAGCCAAAATTAGGCTGTTGGGTAGTCCCTGATCTGATCCAACTAGTGTCCTTTCTGGAAGAGGAGATGTGGACATGCAAGAAGACACCATGGACTTACAGAGAGAAAAGACCACAAGAGGTTGTCCTAAGGAGATTTTTGCCAACCTAGGAAGATCATCTGCAATGCCAAATTTTCAGCACCTTAACCTTGAATTCTATCCGCAAGGGCTATTAGAAAATGTAGTGTGATCACTTAAGCCACCTAGTCTCTGGCATGTCTGGACCACAGTCCTCGTGAAGCAATAAACCATCTGTTACACATAATATAATTGCAGCATTAGTTGTTTTGTTTCAGTCTCATTCACTTTACTGTTGGCCTACGAGGACAGACAATGAATTTGTCTTGTGTAGTTTCACAATCCCAGAGCAGTGCCTGACAACGAGTACATGCTCTGTAATCGCTTTCTGTGTGATAAGTGACTGACTCCTCACCGTCCTGCTCCAGGTCACTACTGTTTATTGCATAGCTCCAGAATGTTCTTCCTTATGGTTTCCCCATCCTTCTCATGGGACTTAAATTCAGAGGCTGTATAGCACCCTTTATGAGTTAAGTGAAATCATTCTGCCCACAAATAAACCTTTCTAGCATCACCTCCCTGCACTTAAGACTAATATCCACTCATGATGATGCCTGAGGCCCTGTGTGATGAGGTCCCAGGTCACCTGCCCAAGGTTCACCTGGGACATAGTTGTGCTGTATCTACATGCTCACACTGTCAGCATGAGGCTGTTCCCCAAGGCAGGGCTTTTGCACTTGCTGTTTCCTCTTCTTGGAAGCCCCTTCCCAAATTCTTAGAAAGTAAAGTCCTTTCCATGATTAGAGTCCCACATCTTTGAAGACTCATCCCATGACATGACCATACTACCTAAAGAGTCTTGTAGAGTCCCACTTCCCATATTTATCACATTCCCACTACTTTCCCTTACCTCAAAGTATCCATTGCTTATCTAGTATTAGATACTCAGTTTCTTTTCTCCTTTTCACCCCTTGCCAATGAAACTCCACAACCACAGGAGCCAACCCTTTCTTACTTAACTATCTGCTATGCCCAGAAAATCTCTTGAACACATAGCTCACAATCAGTGATTTACTTGTTGAAATGAAGAATGGCTAAAATCGTGGGATAGCAATGAACTGAACATATGAGCTGTGGGTGTACCTCACAGGACTCCACACACTGGCAGTGTTTGCACATCTTCTTAATGTGATTTTCTCCAATTCTAGCTACTCTTTCATGGGCCTCACATTGTGTTTTCTGGCAAGAATGTGCTTAAGCTTCCTAAGCACTGGTGTTGAACACAGTCACAATACACCATGGAGAAATAAAACCAAGGTCGTGTCTTCTAGAATTATATCCCATGGCCCATTTGCTGGGTAACCGACTCTCAGCAATTCTATAACCATGAAATTCACACTTCTCAGCAGAAGGAGGATGGTACTATCAGGAGAATCTTAAATTTACAGATATCCCAGTGAAAACATGGAAGATTCCCAATGATCCTTATGGTTTTGTGGATAGAAAGCTTTCCAAATGCACTCCAGAGATTCAACAAAGAGAAGAGAGTACTTGCTGGTAATGGATAGGACTTGGGAATAACGCAGTGATACAAGGACAAGATATGAATGTCTAGGTATTATGGTGAAAGTGAAGTTTCCTGAAGGAGCACAGAGCACTGGGATCCAAGGACAGAATATCATGATGCATTCTGCTGGGGAAAAAAGCAAGTATTACCTAGAAAGACCAAGTCCAAGCATAAAAATAATGAATTTAGATAGCAAAGGTGGACACACTCTATGGGGATAGACGTGTGAAGGGTGTAAGGAAGATAAAGGGTTTATGGGGGAGACTGCTCAACACTGGAGAATGTCCAAGTTTGATAGTGTAGTTAAATGGAAGTGAGAAGAGCAGGTGCTTCTAATATCACTGTCCAGCCTTAGAATGCAGATCATTCCCCAATGGGCATCTGACATTGATAAACTGAAGAGAATCAAAAGAGAGAGACAGTACAGGTAAGGGGAAGCATCTGCATGCCTTCCATAGAAACCCTGTACTGCTGGGGGGCTTTGGATCCTCTTCCTGTGATGTTCACTTCAGCATAGACATTTCCCAAGCATGAGATAGCAGACAGAACCATCTGAGACACTCTGAAAGGCTTGAGATACAACCCAGAGAATAGTGAGAACAATAGGGAACATAGTCTACTTCATGTTTCTGAGTGGCTGGTTTATTCCTGAGAGACAGAGTCTTTCAAACATAGATATCAGACCCAGTTCCTCCAAACATTGTCTGGGACTTGGAACTTGCCATAAAATTTTCCAGAGATGGTGCTTTATCCATGGGGGTCTTCTCCCCAAAAGGGGGAAGGAAATGAAGATTGAAGATCTGACAAATAAATAACAACATTTACATTTCAATTACAGCAACGGGGGGGGTGTTGTGAGACTCATGACCAGATAAGGGTGGGTCTGGGAGTGTATTAAAAGGCACAAAGATAAATACACACACAAGATGCCTCTTGAGGTGACAGTAAGCTGCTCCCTTACTCATAGAATAAATGCTGTGATTTAAATATAATTTGTCTTCCAAACTCACAATGAAGTTGAATCCCCAAAGTCAAGTGACACAAAGAGGGTAGAATCTGATGGTGACATTTAGATTTGGCTGTTTCAGAATGTGGCAAGGCTTGGACAAGTTCTTCACAGTGGAGCACTAACAATCCAATCCTGGCATTAGAAAAAGTAGACAGAGATTTAACATCCAGATATGAACCTCCTCTTTGTTGTCATGTGATGTTCTGCTCTGTCTCCAGACTCTATAAGCTACAAAGCTATCACCAGGCTGGAGCCTATGCCAGTGTTATGCCCTCGAACCTCCAAAAACTGTGAGCTAATAAACATCTTTTCTTTACAAAACTAATTTGCTTGTCCTAGGAGGACTATTTATAACAGTAAGTATCTGTATCAACATTTTTTGAGATGTTTCAAATAAATAACTTAATGATGAGCCTTGGACAAACAAAAACAAACCAAATGGCCAAAGTAGATGGAAAGAAATAATCAAAATCAGGGTTGAAATTAATGGAGTAGAAAAAATACTAAAAATAATCAATAGAACAATGAGATGTTTCTAAAGATCAATAAGAGTGGTAAGCCCTTAGCTAAATTTACTAAAATAAATACAGAAAAGACACAAATCAGTAAAATCAGAAATGAATTGGGAAACATCAGAAGAGATACTAATGAAATTCAGAAAATCCAACATATTTTAAAGCCCCCACTCTACTAAATTGAAAAAATATCCAAAGGAAATGGGAAAATTCTAGATGTATATAACATACCAAAATTAAATCACTATCAAATAAAAAAGGTAAACAGGTCCATAACAAGCAACAAAATTGAAATAGTAACTAAAAGTCTCCCTATTAAAAGTAAGGCCAGCACTGGATGAGCTCACTGCAGAATTCTACAAAACCTTTAAAGAGTAACAACTCAGCTGTCTATGTCAGTCTGCCTCCCAGTCTCAGGGAACATAACAGAAGAGGAGACTGAAAGAATGGAAGAGCCAGAAGACAGGTGGCAGTGTGGGGGGTAGGGGTGGGGCCATTGCTGTCCTTTGAGTATGACATGACTATTGTGTAAGTGAATTCATAGCATCTGTGGTTCCTTACATATGACCTCAGAAACTCTACCAGTTAAAAATCCTAACAAGAATAGAGTAAGGGTTCCCTAGGGACCCCACTCCTAACTGAGGAGCTACTGGCAGTTGATGGCTGCAGTGTGTTGCGGGGGTAGACAGTGTTTTCTTTAGGTGTTGCGACCACTGGCAGTTCCCCATGCCCTAAGGATGAACTCAACAAATATACAGAAAGCACTAATTAGACTCTGTGGGTTTTAAATAATTATAAGCAAGAATGGTGAGAAGGGGGAAGGAAAGCATATGAAGCTGGGAGGGAGTTGTAATATGGGATTCTGGGGGAACTAGAAGGGGACTAATACCTAGATATGATCAAGATACACTATATTGCATGTATAAAATTTTCAAAGAATAAATTAATATTTTAAAAATGTCAGCCTACCATGGATATTTCATCCTACTATATTTAGCTCAGTATCTCATGGTCACATGGGAGAATTAAGAAACACCCAGGAATCATCTAGAACTGAGTGAATGCCAAGAAACTGGTAGGAATCTAAGACAGCAATTCCAAATTGAGGATTTGGCATCCCAGCCAACTCTGGCAGGGGCTTCCATGATCATCTGCACACTATAGTCTTCCATTTGTATACCTATAAGGTATAATATCAGCACAACTGCCTGCACCCAGGACTTGGCTGTGCAGGAGCTGTGTGGCTCCTTGCTGAGACACATTCAAATGTCATTGCAAGAGGGAAACTTAAAGGAGGAGTGGCATCTCGCCCTACACCTACACAGTGCCAAGAAGTGTGTTTAAAATTATTTGTAAAGAATTAATAGCTCTGGAGTCCTTTTCCTTGTGGGTGAAGAGTATGCTAATTTGCTTCATGCTTAATGTTGTTCTTTTTTTGTCTTGTTTTTTTTTCTATAAAAGACAATTATATAAGATTCTATCCAAAGGCCTCTAATTCTTCCACTTCAGTGGTCTGAATCCCACTAATAAACAATCAGGACTTTAGACTCCCTTAATAATGGAGAGAGATTCAGACGGATTGTTTTGCCAGTCTCTGCAAATTCCTGGAGGTGCTGCCTGTTGAACGGGCTGGCAAAATTATGGATTTATTCAGGACTGATTGCACTGGGTATGTAAGCAGTTTTGAAGGATTAAAAGGTAGCAATTGAGAGGGCTGTGAGCTGAATGAACAGGGGCATGGCATCCTTGTGACGACCCAGTCTAGCATGGAGAAAGGATGTGTTAGGAGAAATGGATAGACTTACTGCATGGATGAGCAAGGACCCGGACTTCGTCCACGGCGATGTAACCAGGATGACCCTTCAAAGAGACGGATTCAAATATCACCTGCAATACACAGGACTGATGTCAGATTCACAGAAGCAGTTGTCCACATCCACCTGAAGAAGCCACACAGCCCCCAGTCCCTTTCTGTATCAGCTTCCCACCAGAACCAGCCAAGAATGCCTCACATTAGGAGAGTAAACCATGCTTCCAGTTGACTTGGGTTTCCAAACAAGGCAAAAGTCTACACTCTGGAGGCCAGCAATAGAAGCTAGCCATGTGAAGCATTTTTAATGGATTTCAGATATAACACTCAGCCATAACAACAAACAATTTGAACAAGACCCTGGGTCCCCACCAGTACCTCCCTCATTGTGGTTTCAAATGAATTACAGAGGGAACTACTTACAAATAGCCCAATTTCCTTATTGTCTTGGAAACCAGCATAAGCCAAGGAGAGTTAGTCCTGATGTGACTTGATAGTCAACTTGGACTTCCTGAGTGTCTGTGTGTGTGTCTTTCTGTGTGTGTGTGAGTCTGTGTGTGTATGTGTGTGTGTGTGTACATGTGTATATTTGTATGTGTGTTTGGTGGTCAGAGGTTAACCTCTATTGTCTTCCTCAGGTGCCAGCCACCTGGTTTTTAATTTTATTTATTTATTTTTTTTGAGATGGAGTCACTCACTTGGCTTGCAGTTCTCCTATTTCCTGTCTATACCTTCCCAGCACTGGGACTACAAAAATGTGCTGCTAAACACCTGCCTCCTTTTCACAGGGGTGCTAGGGATCAAACTTTGCAGGCTGAGCCATTTCCTGGATGCCTTCCTAACACCTCTTAGAAACTAGAAGCAATGTACTCTGTACTCGATTGACTGTATCTGTGAGTGGAAGGAAGCAGAACTTTTCTCTACTGACTCCTACAAAAACTTTTTACTTCCACAGGATTTGATAATTAAGATTTCCTGACTTTCTCTTCAGTGAGGAGGAATGAGTATCTTTGTGAGTACCATGGCCAGAACCTTTCACACTCCCCCGACTACACCAGCTCCATTCTCTAATTTGAACATGACATTTTACAATCCTCTGTCAGACTCTTACCTGACAACCTTCTCCCAATTCGCTATTCTTTCATCTGCTCCCTAGACTCACACAGTACCCGGATCTGTATTTCCCCAGAGTCTACACGGTCACCTAGACCCTCCTACATTCTTGCCAAGCCCAGGCTCCTTCTATTATGATGGCTAATCCCCAATGTGATTCTTCACAACTCTTTTTGAACCTTGTCAAGCCAGTTGTGGACCTTCCTTCTCCATCCACAAACCCTACCCAGCATTCTCCTTTCATCATGTAGCTGCCCAATCGTGGAAGGACCTAGAGCTTGGAGAATATCAGGGAGGAACTGACTTCTCACTTCTTACCCACAAACCTATCCATCTTCCACACCAACCATAATCTCTGCAAGTAAGTCCATACCCTTGAAACTGGCTGATCCCTGCTGAAGTTTCCAGAATCTTGTCTCTTCTTTTGCTACTCTATTTCCAGGCTCTCCCTCCTTCCCTCTGCCCTTAACACATATTAATGGTTTTAACTTTTCCTAGTCTTAAAAAACTACCTCTTTGTAGAAAGTTCTTCTCTGTGGCCAGTTGTGTTTCAATGACAATCCTTAGTAGCTTAATAAAGTCATTCCTATCACTTCCTTACCTCTACCACAAAATGTTGAGTATAAAATCCAAATCAGTCACATATATTCCTCTCAAGATGGTTTTATTTTAACAGACACTAATATTTTAAATACTAAATCTGATGAAACTTCCCCAAATCTCTCTTATTTTCAGAAGGAAGATGGTGGGGCTGGAGAGATGGCTCAGGAGTTCAAAGCATGGGTTGTTCTTCCAGATATACTGAGTTCAGTTCCCAGCAGCCATATTATGGGTAACAACCTTGTATAACTGTAGTCCCATGACACCTGATGCCTTCTACTGGTACATGTAGACAAAACATCCATATACATAAAATACATAAATAAAAATTACATAAAAAAGAGTTCCCTGTTTTGAGCCATCATGTCTGCACTTACAATTGTAGTATCTGTCTTGTCAGGTAACTTTTCAGGTAGGGAGCATTAATATTCTATTGAGAATGCTGGACACACAACATGCTCAATCAATGTCTACTATAATTATTATTACTTCTTGATCATACTTCTGCAATTATCAATATTCACAGCTTGTCTCTTTCCCAGTCGCTACTTGGGCTTAGAGGATTCTTCACATTTGATTGTTCTCATATATACAAGACCATCCTGTCATAAGTTTATAGGCACTCCTTCTTCTCCATCCTTTGGAGATGGTGATTCTTCTATTCATCATCTGATTGACTATGCACACTCACTCTTCAGCCATTGCCAACTCACTGGGATGCCAAGCCCAGCTCTGTGTCCTATATCTATCATCAGAGCATTAATTAGCATTATCTAACCAGCTCACAGCTCTGAATTTCTACACAGCATGAAGTTTCCTCACATGTAATCTGGATGTAACAGTTCTGAGCATATTTCCTTTGAGTGTTCTACCTTACTATCCAGTGGGCCATCCCTTCTAAAGTACAGTGCTATACCCTTCCCACTCATCATAGCTGGAGATCTGGGTACCTATATGGGCTTCAACTTCAGCCTTCTCCCTTATCTTCAGTTTCCTTTTGATTCTACCTTAGTAGAAGTTCTCAGATATGCCCCCGTTTTTCCATCTCTTTTATTAGACAGATCATAGGAAGCACTCATTTTTTAGTCAAAGCCAGTCAGGTATCAGTACCAGTGTTTAATTCAGCCTGTAACTGTTTATCATAACTGCCATAATGATGTCTTCCAAAATGAAACCCCTGTCCTGTCCCTACTACACAGCTAAAGTCGGTGGTCAAACAATAAACTAGGTGATGAGATCAACAGGATATCTCTCTAGGAAACCATGTTGCCCAGGCATGTGGATTCAAAGCTTAGTGCTCTCAGTGGGCCTGGAGCTCTCATGATTATACCAAGAGACCAGGACAAGAAGGTGGCAATGACTGTGAAGAGGCAGTTTCCTTGGTGGTAAGATCCATCAGTAAAGCTGAGAGTTCTGCTAAATGATGAGGGGAGTAACAGCCATACAGTATCACAGTTGCTTCTGCACAATGACCACTCTCAAAAACTGTTTTCCTAAAACAGTACAGTCCTTCAGAGAGAATTAACATATAGGATTATGCATGATCTTGAAAAGGTGCAGAGATGAAAGAATGATCTTTCCTTCATTCTGCAGAAGGGGAAATCTTTCTATAAAGAACCAGGTGTCTATGTGTGTGGGGGAGGAGAGAGAGAGAGAGAGAGAGAGAGAGAGAGAGAGAGAGAGATGAAGTAATTCAGTGGAAAAACAAAGTAAAGTTCATAAAAAATCAAAAGAAAATAGAGTATATAAAGCAAATATATTTCAAAAGCAATAGTAGAAAAGTATTTACACTGTGAAATAAAAAAATGACAAATACAAGAAAAATGTTTCTGTTTTGACAATAACTATAAATGGGTTAAAATAGAGGAAAACACCTAGACGTCTAAATAATCAAAGTCTAATTGTATGCTGTAAGATAAGCACCTAAGGCAGAATAACTCAGTAACCTTGCAAATAACGAATGGAACAAAGACACAATAAGGAAAATGCAAGTGAACAGAAAACAGTTGTTATAAAAAATAATGGGATTGCTCCAAAGTAGATTTTTAACCAAACTGAAAAATATAAACCATTAAATAGACTAAATTGACCATTGAAAATTGTATCTACATCCCTCAAGATAAGAAACGTGAAAGGAAAATGATGATCGGGGAAAAGAACACAGTATCTAAAGACTTTGACCTACTTCTAGGTCAATAAAACAGATCAATCAAACATAAGAACCAATACAACAAATATATTTTCTCCTAAATGTGTAATGAATATACTGAGAAAGCAAAATTTCTATTCAAATGCTCATAGATTTGTAAGGATCATAAGCTAGATTATAATATAACTCCAATAAGAATCCCAATGAATAAAATTTGTATATATTTAATTTTATACATTTTTGTAACCAAATTTCCTAAAACTAGAAAATAATAACAATCTTAAAATCAAAAGTTATACAATGCATATTAATAACTATGATGTGATAGTATGTTTCTTATGTCAACAAGAGTCTGAAAAAAATCGAAAGTCAAATGACAACCCGAGATCAAGACTTGCAATATATATTAAAAAAGCATATCCTTTTTTATTTGGGGAGTTCAAATGAATTATTGACAGGCAAGAAAAGAAATGAATAATATTCCTCCCAACAAAACTCTGGCAAGGTAATTCAATAGGAAAAAAATCACCAAAAATTAAGTAAGAATCACAATCTCTAAGTGCAAATTTCTTAAATGTCATAGAAGATGTTCTGAGGTGATTCAAAAGATGCCTGTTGCCTTAGGTGGCAATGACTGCTCCACCACTTAGCACTGGGATAGAAGGTGCTGATCGCTGACTAGCAATTAGCCAGAGCCTTTTTCTCAGGACAGATACCACAAAGGAGGATGCTAATATCTTCTCAAAAGAAGGTCCATCCAGGAACTGTGAACAGAGAGATAATGACCGTCTTTGGTCATGAAAATGGGAGAAGTGATGGAGGTAGGTAGACATGAGTGGAGAAGACCTGAGAGTTCTCTAGATGTGGATGTCTCCAAGGAGCAGGAAGGGAGATAATGGAGTTAGGTGGAATATTGAAGTAGGCCACATGACCAGAAGGGTAAAGGGCATTCATATAAGTTGGGACCCTGGATGCAAAGATCATAGTGGAAGACCTGATCCCAGTATCTCAAGCTCTGTGAAGGATATCCCTCAGCCTCAAGGATGCTTCATGGAACCTACTGTCAACTAGAGCTAGGTTGGGCCTAAAGCTTTGCTGGATACCTCCTGATGCAGGCACAGGAAGGGGGCTTATACAGAGCAGTTCAAATCTGCCTCTGTGCAGAATCAAAGCCTAGAAGGAACTTCCAGCAAAGACTGAGGTTGGATTACACTA